TTGTTGCTGTTATTCACATTAACGGCAATGCACAGATCAACATAAAGTTGCCAAGTTCTATGAATACTGTCTACGGCGTATCTGAGGAGAATCTTATCAATTCGCGCACAGCGAAGATTTTCAAATTAAAACCAATGTGGTGAGGAAAATATGTACATATGTCAGGTGCTGAGGAAAGCGATTACATATATTCCCACTCCAACACTGTATAGGAAACTCCTGAGCTCAGCTGCTGAGGAAAGCGATTACATATATTCCTACTCCAACACTGTATAGGAAACTCCTGAGCTCAGCTGCTGAGGAAAGCGATTACATATACTCCTACTCCAACACTGTATAGGAAACTCCTGAGCTCAGGTGCTGAAGAAAGCGATTACATATATTCCTACTCCAACACTGTATAGGAAACTCCTGAGCTCAGGTGCTGAGGAAAGCGATTACATATATTCCTACTCCAACACTGTATAGGAAACTCCTGAGCTCAGCTGCTGAGGAAAGCGATTACATATACTCCTACTCCAACACTGTATAGGAAACTCCTGAGCTCAGGTGCTGAAGAAAGCGATTACATATATTCCTACTCCAACACTGTATAGGAAACTCCTGAGCTCAGGTGCTGAGGAAAGCGATTACATATATTCCTACTCCAACACTGTATAGGAAACTCCTGAGCTCAGCTGCTGAGGAAAGCGATTACATATATTCCTACTCCAACACTGTATAGGAAACTCCTGAGCTCAGGTGCTTAGGAAAGCGATTACATATATTCCTACTCCAACACTGTATAGGAAACTCCTGGCATAATTGCGAAGCGAACGAAGCACATACCGCAACAACAGGCACTTTCGCGTTGCGCGTGCGTGCAGAATTATTCTGACTCAACTACTTAGCGTACGAGGCCGCCAAATAGATCAAACGACTCCGCGTTTTTCGTGAAGTGGCGTCGTAATACTCCATGTGAAAAACGCGATATTCGCGGTGATATACAGCAAATTGAAAATACTTTTCACACCAAAAAAACTCACCGCATTTCACGTGTTTTACGCGTTATTCACTGCTAACATGCGTTTTCGCGGAGTGAAATGTGAAATCTACTTTTCACTAGTGTTTTTCATATCACTAGGGTGGTGAAACTCTATTGGTAAATCGGTAACTCAGGGAAAGAAGACCCCCCATAGCCGTGAAAAAAAAATCGCATTTTTTTCAGAGAAAAATTACAAAAAAATACAAAAAATACAAAAAAATAAAAAAATAAAAACGCCGAAAAAATACAAAAAATACCAAAATTCGGTTCGCTTACTGTGGACTAGTTTCCATCTCTTCAAAATGGCCAGTAATTTCAAATTGCGGTAAAACGAATAACATCGCCAATACCAACAGTATAACCTAAAATTGAGGAAAAAAATAGAAAAAAATTTCGTAAAAGTTTCATGACTACCCGTTTTACGTGAAGTGGTGAAAAACGCGATTTTATTCGCGGTGATATGCAGTAGTCGTGGAATGTATTTTTCACTAGTGTTTTTCATATCACCAAAACTACATTATGAAACTTACTTTCCTCGTCGTCAACTCCGACAGTTTTTTTCCAACTCGGCTTTCATCTCGGAAATTTTCATCTCCTTTTCCCTCAATCGATGACAGATCACTTTGAGTACTGGTTCTTTTTTTATCATTTTTTTCCAAAATTTCCATTTTTTTCTCCTCTTTTTTCCTCCCCAGTGCAACCTTGTATAGCTTTACTATTCTTAATAATCGTATTAATCGTATCATCCTCACTACTCGAGCAGCCCGACTTCCCGCTCGGCTGGCACGACCGACGCGTGTCACACCCGTGTCACCAGTATTTTCGAAAAAATTTTCCGCAAAAAAAGTTAAATCAAGTAATAGCGATGCAGTTGATAGTAAATCGAGAAAGAAAAAAAATGACCATAAATATCCTTTCTTTCCAATCGAAGCTGCGGTAATCTGAAATTGTGGAAAAATTTTGGAAAAAAAATTTGCGAAATTTACTTACCTCAATGGTGAAAATAATTAACGAAATCGTTGTAAAAATATCAAAAATATTATCCGCTGATTGTGAAGTGGAACTCACACGAATGTCGTCGCCAAACAGAGCGTATATCGTGGTTACCGCGGTGACAAATCTGAGAGAAAAATTTACCAAAAAAATTTTTTCCGCAAAAAAAACTTACGAGAAAAATTTATTTTCAACTAGCTTACCACACCAATACTTAATCGTTGTCTTCAGTGGCGGTCGGTCGCGTAACAGACTTAGTAGACGCTTCGTCTTTTTCGATGAACTGATGAGAATAATAATCAAAAGTGTGGTATCGATTTAAAAAAAAATTGCCATTTTTTCGGCAGAAAGTGAGAATTTTCCGAAAAATACAGAATTTATCTACTCGATACCAGAATCGCCTGATGATAATAACGGGAGTTATGGTATCGATTTCAGTACAGCATTTTTCGACCGAAATTTTTTTAATATTTTCCGCAAAAATGGAAAAAATACCACAAAAAATTTTGTCCACTCGAAATTTACCAAGTACCAGAATCGCTGTATTTTACAAGCGAAATTTTTTTAATATTTTCCGCAAAAATGGGAAAATTTTCCCACAAATTTTTTGTCTCAAAAATTTACTCAACACCAAAATCGATTTCTTACCTTATATTGCTCTCATCATCAACTTTATTATTAATCTCATTAATGTTATCCGTGGCTTCGGTGGAAGAATTGATTTTTGAAGGGGTCCTTGGCGACGGCGCGAAGATGGTGAAGGGAAAAAAATTTTACTTTTTTTGCGATGATTTACGGAATTTCCCGAAATCGGAATAATTTTTTACCGAAAAAATTTTTTTTTCTACCCATTTGAGGTGAATGTTCGATCTTTATATGAAATATATAAATAAAGAAATATATAGGAGTTTTACGTGAAGAGGCGTCGTAATACTCCATGTGAAAAACGCGATATGAAGTTAATTAAAAACACTTCGCGAATTACACCGGAAAAAATTTCCTCATTTTACACGTGCAACATTTCGCGAAAATCGCGAGCAGTCAGCGTTTTACACTATTTATATCACTAGAGTGATTGAGAATTTCGCTAAGTATAACAATGGAGTTTCACCGCCCTAGTGATATGAAAAACACTAGTGAAATATATATTTCACGACTACTGCATATCATCGCGATGAAAATCGCGTTTTTCACCACTTCACGTAAAACGGGTAGTCGTGAAACTCCATTGTAAATGTGAGAAATGAAATGATATACATACTAACAATGAATACGCTTCTAATCTATACACGAGTTATATATAATAACGATGATGATATGATTGTTGCGTGAGCTCAGCTGAGGAAAGTGAGCATAGGTTCCTCCAAATTTTGTGAGAATATATGTTAGGAAGCTCGCGAGCTCAGTTGAGGAAAGTAAACATATATTTTCACTCTGTAACTCCTTATCGTCCTAAGCGTCACTCATAACATTATGTCTAGGGGGGCCGAGCTAATACCAATTAGCTTCACTATACGTTGGTGGGTAGCCTCGTACAGCTACTAATCCCAACCGCCGCCCCCTTTATCAGGAAAGTAACGTCATGGAAAAACTGGGAGAATATAAATTGCGCTGTGTCATTAGGAAAATGCAAGATATCAAGATTTCAAGTGGTAGAGCGAGATTCAATCTCGCAACCTTGGTTGTACTGCCTACAAGTGGATTGGTTCAGATGATGAGCTATCAACGATCGGTAACGTCGCAGCATCTGTGAGACTGCCCCAAGGGATGTCAGGAAAATCAAAGTGGAGGGAGTCACAAACACCCTACTAGGAGTCATTTTAGATGAGATGAATTCTTGTCAAGGAGCCACCTCTTCTAAAATGACTTTTTAAGAAGTTCTTGAGATGTCGCCACCTGAGGGGAAGAGATTGTAGCGCATTTTGATCTACTCACTACTGTATCGAGATCGAATAACTCAATTAAAAATGGTACTATTCTCGCTTTATGCAATGCATATGAGCCTCATATCAACAGGAAACGCACTAACTCCTAAAAAAACTCATGTTAATGTGACGGTTGTGATCGGTTTTGACTGACTCGCCAGAGCTCAGGTCTCGGGGTGTTATCCGCTTAATGGCTGTGATGCAAGCGCAATCCAGACTACGGGCTCCGTCCTAAAGAAGAAGTAACTGCAGGTGCAAGCGGAGAAAGGGAAACCCAAAATCCCACCCGATACCCGACGGAGGCGACCTTCCGGTGACGTAGTCGTGCGCCTCGGCTGGTTTCTTTTGGAACGTTAAGAGTTTCACGGTCCTCTCCAGGGAGTTCACAAGAACCGCCTTTCTTGCGTTGCGACCTCCACAAACATGCTCAGCCACCTTCTCAATTATCTCCACAACTAGCATGTTGGCCGGTCCATTAGATCGCCTAAGATAGTCAACTGTGCTTTGCACTCGATGGAGCAGTGTGATGACACCGACTTCACAATACTCGTCAAGATAGATCTCACTATCGAGTTCCGATGCTCGACCGCTCGAAATTCCTATCCCGGCCTGCTCCTGAAAATACCGTCCGACTCTTGATTACAGTCTATGAGCTCCGGTAGCTCCTCTCGTCGGGTCGACTCAATTGATAGATTACAGTCGAGCCGGCTTACATTCTGTATGGCCTATAGCATAAACCAGATTCCGTCGACATCTAACCGCAGCCTATATACGCGGTGAAAGAGGAGTTCTCATCGCTTGGAGCACTATCATTATCACTGCTATGCACGCTTCTTGAGAGGTCATCACATATAATAATCACACTGACCTGTATCAGGCGGATTTCATGAAATCTCCTGGGCGCGACGGCACAACATATCGGAGCGTTCTCAGAGTCCCTGTTTTCAGGGATGAGGAAGGTCCATCATATGTGTTGCCAATCGGAAGTTTTCGTGGAGAGTCTCCACGAAAACCTCGGTCTCCACTGGAGACCGAGGCGTTCCTTTCCATGAAGGGTATATGAACATCGAAGTGTTGCAGGGAGCCCATGAATGCCCCAAAATCATAGAGGTGAAAGAAACCACTGCTATTAGTAGTACTAGCACAACTAATCAAACCCCCACTACCGCTCAGAGAATCTTTTAAAACGGGTCCAGTGACAGGAATCCAGACGCTTGTACCATTAGTGCGATCGGATACAAGACAAAAAACAATAACTCAATAGTATCGAGTTTTACCATTGGTATTGAGTCAATACCAATGGTGGATAACCAATGGTAATATTGCCAATGATACCATTGAAGCTTACTGTTATAAGATTACATAGTAATCATTGTAAGTTATAATTTACAACCACCAACATTAAACATACATTGAAATAATACACAACGATTCGATACCAATGTATTATGAACAGTTCGCGAAGTGTGGTTGCAGAAGTTGAAATAATCTTCAACACAAAACTCACGCAGCTCCGTGTCACTGTCCTGCAACGGTGACGCTTAATTGTGTAAGGATGTATCAGCACCGATAATTGCAATACGCGGAATTAAAGGCATCCTCTGAGATGATTCCTCTCTCGTGCTAAACTCACTATCGCCATGGGAATATCGTCAACCCCAAGCACTAGTGGATCGTCCACAAAACCTAGTCACTCTCGTCCTAAAATCCACTCCTACAACTGGCTGCTGTAGACGGTTTTCAAGAGCCCACAACACGCAAATTTGAAATGAACAATCAATGTCCGAATAAATAGTAAGACCTGACGTAGAGACTGAAATTCAAACATAAGTTCAAGATGATCAACCAAGATAAAAACCCGCCACGTGCTCTTTGTTTCGTGCGCAATCTATTATCTCAGCTAGACTTGATTTGGAACTAGTCGTTTTTCCGAGTATGATTCAATCATAATGATTGTAGATAGAACCTCTAGGTACAATCAACCATTGCCTGAGCTAACTCATAAGATTGTTTACCCTAGTGGTTAACAACCGTGCCGCACGATATTCCTGCCACGAACAACCAGAGTGGGAAGAGTGGGGAAACGGGGTAAACTGTTAGGGAATTGCCCATTGAGATTACACTACACTGGATATAATCGCAGGACAATGCCTTACAAGGGCGGATTATACATAGCCGTCGACTCGACGGCGTCGAGGACTATCTTCATCATGGGCTTAGCTGAGGGATTCCTTCAGCCTAGAGAGACATATTGTGTGTTATTGGAAGTCACCAGTTACGGTGACCATTGGGAGGATAGTCCAGGGTCAAGGCGAACGCTGATCGAGGCGAGCACTGATTGAAGTTTTGTTTGACCAGGAAGCTAGGCTAATAACCAATGGGGCCAATAGAAGTTGAATGTTGCTGTCGTTTTAAGGTCCTGCCTTATACGCGTTTTCCTTCCTCGACCAATGGTCAGACCATTGGGCTGAGACTCTCAGCCCAAGTAACCCGAACACAACCTGTGTGCACAGAGCGTCTCTGGAAAGACGTTTTCTGATGAGTTAAGGGAAGACTCTTCCTTTAACTCATCAGAAAAAGTTAGTGAGTGAGTCGAAGAAATGTGATTGAAGAGTTGAGAGTAAGACCCTTGTAAGCTGAAAATTCAAGACGGTACTAACACCGGCTACCGTATAATCGGCGTCGCCGATTCGGCGAGGACTATGATGTATCAAATTGATCGCCGGACTAGGAGATGATAGTGTGTTACGTATGCTCAGTGTGCATTGCTCACACGCAAATTTTGAACCTCATCAGCTTCTACTCAATGTTGGGGTTATGTCGACACGGACTGAACTCATCGCCATCAAGTTCTCGAGAAAAGACTAGCTTGAGAAGCAGGATAATCGAATCTATGATAGATTCGATTATCCAGATAGATTATCTGTCTAATAATAGCGATGGCCATAGCTTGGCCCCAACAGAAATGGTTTCTGAGAAACCTGCTCATCATCGTCGCAGGCAAGTACGCTGAGTACTAAAAGAGATACAACAAGGTTTGGCCGACACAACAAGGCCACAAAACACTGCCCACAGCGATCATCCTTAGTAGTGCTGATCATTGATTTGCACTGGCACTTAACATTTGGTGAAATCTGTTCGATGATGCTGTTCCATGTTTATAACAGCATACTTATCTCCCACTGGTACAATGCTCATATACCATCTCAAGAATGGGAATACCAGCGAGTTGTTATAATATTGGGCCCTCAACACTCCATTATAGGGCTCATAGTCAGCTGCTAATCGGAGGGAAACTAACTCGCCATAGACCTTAGCGACATGTGAGTTGAGACGTGCAACGATGTGCTTGCTCTTAGTGTCGACCTCGATACGATCCATGAACCCATGGCAGTAACTCTCCGTCTCGGATACCATGTACTTCAGCTTTTCGGAGACTTCTGGCAATTTCTGAGTAGACTGGAATCTCTTCTTGAAGTTATATGTAACTTCTAGGTGAGAAGTTTTCAAGATTATCTCATCACGATTAGAATCATACATCAAATAAAAGTATAGTCCCACATACGGATAATTATTGGTGTTGTTAGTGATCGAAGAATTCATATACATGAAGTACACACCCTTCTCACGCGGCTTCTCGTGGTAGTAGACAGGGATGTTAGCCAAATCAAGACTCAATAGATGAGTGTCATTGGATTTGAATGCCGTCATTGTAATCCATGTATGCTCGCCTTGTACGAAAATAGTCCCCTCCCGCGTATACTCACCATAATCGAGCCAATATGAACCGCTAGGCATCTTTGGACTGGCAGTGAGAACAGCAGTTTTATGGGTATCTGTTTCAGGTTGATACAGATGTCCAGTGGTGATCTGGATCAGAAGGGTTCCTAGGAGAAATGGAGCAGCCATTTACAAATCGAACAGCTGGGAGCTACCAGCCGGTCTATGCCCACCAAGATGTCGTGTCCAATATCCGCACTAGGGTGGCACTACTAAGAGCGAATCAATGGCGAACCCTCTGAGCGCCGCTCGAGTCTAGCGGGGGAGACGAGATCTCAAAGTTAGAGATGCACGCACGTCCCGGACGTGACGTCCGTAACGAACGAAGATTCTCACGATACATGCTAGTGCGATATAACGTCCTTTCCGTGTGCGTAGAAATCTACCACAACGTAGAGATGACTCAATACCAGAAGGTCAAGTAATAAGTTCACGTTTCCTGATTCGCAACTCGAAAAATACACTGGATCAATCCAAGGAGCACATGAACCGGATTATCTGGGTATACACGTACACTGCGTGAAATAACGGTCAGTGATCGTCGGTCGCTGCTCAAGGCGTGAACACTGTTCACTGAACAGTATATCATCTGATCGATCGACCCGAAGCTTTCAGCCCGTACTAGCTATAATACTGTTATGTGAATTAACTCTGTTCGGGGAATGGAGAACAGACTGTTCTCCATCTTATGAACACCATAGACTACCACATCAAGTGGTTCGACGAGCACGCAGAAATAGGAGTTGTGCGCATTTGGATAGGAAAAACGCACGCACAGTACATCCGTGAAAAGTGGTGTCACCACTGTGGTGAATCACCACTGATCATCAGTGGACTATCAGTACCATGCATCATCATGATGCATGGTCTACCAAGTCGCAATACCGTTCACTCCTGAATTGGTGCGCTGTTATATGGGCCGCTAATGAATCATCCATAATGGATGTCCTCCTGTCTCGGTATGTGCGAGTTCTCTTGTCTCGCTTGTGTCACACAAGTTGTCGCATCGAACGCACAAGTATTGTGTCTTATGCCACAGGCAGCGGCTGCCTGTAGGGTGCGTGGCAGTGTGTCGAACAGGCTCGTTGAGCCTTGAGCACTGTCTTCAACTATTGCTCTGAGAGCAATGCTCTCAGGTGAGACACGCAACTCGTTTGAGCAACGAGTTGCAGTTAAATGAGACTTTCATCTAACTTCTAAGCTTTGGGCATGAGGGTTTTCAAGAAACATAACGCAGTCTGGCTAGATATGATTTCAGAAGCCTACTGACTTTCCGTTGCTAATTTATACCCGCATACCAGCACATGAATCATGTGACATGATGCTAAATGTATCGTTTGTGGAAAAAACTTTGTGTATTTTAAGGGTGGTTGCTAGATGAACTCCGTCATCAAAGTCATCAAACATCATAATCACGATCAGGCATTGACCTTTACCCATATCACACGTCTTTTCCTTACCTCCGCTTGATCCCTCTGAGAATTTCGACCACGTGAATCCTCTTCGAGTTGAGATAACTAGATAAAGACGGAAGTACTTTTCAAATACGTCATCTACTGGTATGGAGGGCTCTAAGTCGGATGAGTGTGGGTTTATCAAATTTGAGTGCAGGTCAAGGCTTGCATGGGGCAGATTCAAGCAAGCGTGACAAGTATCGCTCGTGCGTGCGTGGCGCACGTCATTGCGATCGACTCGAACGAGAAGGTAGTGCAACCGGTCGAGGAGCAGGTGACGGCATTCTGGCTGTGCAGGGAGCATCTCTCGTGTCACGTGACGTGGACCCGGATAGGGCTACGTGTCTAGTCCTATCTCGGTTGACCTGTTTCTCGTCCTCCGTTTGGGCGTGCGCTCGGGTCTCGATAGGGGCGGCTGCTGCACGAACCTTTCGAGTCTCCCGCTCGCTGCTGGCCGCGTCTGGCTTCGTGGAGGGCCGGCGTTTCGCACGAACCTCCACCTCGCCTCCTGTCATGTGACTACTTGCAACACCTGTCTGTGTTCTTCTTACGGAGATAACCCCCATCTTGCACCCGAGCTGGCTACATTTCTCCCCCGACTTACGCCTGTACCACTATGGGTGTACCAATGTTGGGATTCGCGGCTTTACTGTCCGTATCCCTATCGCTCTCGGCATCTCGCCCTGCGAAGGAGCGTCGGCCGCATTATCCTCGGACGCCACTCGGCGGAAGTACACCACGATTCGCACAGTACGAGTTCGAAGTACAATGACGAGTACTATTCCGCAGTAATTATGAATCGTAGAAATACGTGAGCAGTACCCTCTGTGAGCTCCTCCGGGAATATCCCCGTTCTTTCTTAACAGCTCTCGAAAAGCTCTCAACATCATTATTCATGACTAGCGAAACTATCAAAGTGCCTCTCTAGCTCCACTTCTGTGCATCACGAAGCTTACCATATACTCATTATTACACCTTAATGGCTCCGTATCAGGAAATCACTGTTCCCGGGGGGGGGCTCATTTTGATTTTTCCACATGGCTAGGAGCACATCTTTCAACCACTTCCCTGAGTGAGTATGATCGCATCAGGAACATTTCCCAGTAGCTGTCAATCTCCCGGGAACGTTAAATCTCAAAGCTGCATGAGTCCCTGTTCCGTATAGATATTACTATCGAATCCTTGAATAAAAGACCACATTGGTGATAACTATCCACTACTATTGGACACTCTCGTTGATGTATAAGAAATTTTAACCCAACAGAAACACCTTCACAGGTTCATAACAATGTAACACAGTTTCATGCCTTCATCATATAGCTCCTCATAGAGTTATCCTCAACAGCAGCAGCAGCAGCAGCAATGATGATAAGGAAAACTCGAAAATCCACTTCTACTATTCAATACAATCTCCGAAACTGGACGGATAGCGTTCAACAGCTTTCTCGATTTTTCTCTTCAGTTTAAATTCACCTATAATTTCCTGAACGCAACCAACATCATAAAACGTCACAATGAGAAAACCAACTTCATAATCCGAATTCCTCTCCGTGCCGGGCAGTATTCCCAACCAGTCGCACAGTACTTCCACAGTGAAACTCATGCTATCCCATAACGCATGGTAAAACGATCGATCTGCAATAAAAACGAATCAGTATTGGAAAATGTCTTCACTTTCCTCAGCCGAGCTGGAGAATTTACAAACGAATCCGAGTAGAAGTGTTCAGAAATCAACAAGAATTCCCTCAGAATTTTGATATTGTTACCAAATGGCACTTGGCAAATGCATATTTCGCCACTACATGCTGAGGCACCTTAAAAGAATGGGAAATTATCATCTTCAGGCTCACCAGAAGGCGTTGACAACTCTTCCTCAGCTGCTTCGCTCACCATACCAGAAGCGAACATAACACAATGGTGACAAATACGCACTACAGCCAACGCAATGCACACTGTTCAATAGAGACAAGTACATAATTCATGATACTATTATTCTGCTATGGTCATCACATGTCCGACGGCAGCCGACGCAAGTCTCATTGCCAGCAAGTTCGTCGCACTCTCAGAGCTGGCAATGATGGCACTTTTGTTAGACCCGGCACCTCGGGTGACTGAAATTAGGAGATCCGATAAAATCGGACGCTAGTAGTGATTTCAACCTGAGTGTTCTTCTCCTCGGTGATAGTGACGTTGTTGTCCTCGCTCAGCTGTAACAGGGGCTCCAAGTTAGCACGTATCGTCTGAATCGTTTCCTACAACATGCACAATATTCATCTACTTGTCACAGTTGATTCAGCTCGAGCGTTCACTGAAAGCAAAACTTCCCTGAAATTTCATCAGAACTTCGTGGAGACTATTTTCTTATTGTTTCAAGACGTAGCTCATCGTGTATTTTTCCAGCCCCACCAGTGATCATACAGTGCGTACTAATTTGATATGAAGATGTGAAGAGTGTGCGCTCTTTATTCCGAGATCGACAATAGTGAACAACTTCAGTCCCGAAAGGTTACTTATAGCACATCACATGTTCATAGCAATGCTTGCATTGTTCACGCAATATGGTTTCTTATCAATGTCGGATAACAATGCACATTTTGCATTTGCATATCAAATTGATACCCACCGGGGCCTCACCCTCAAGAAGAGCAAGCACCCTTTTCGACACATTACTCACTTCAGTAGTCATGCCCAATAATGTGCTCCACCGGCCAACACTTTCCTCAACTTCATCGGTTATCATATCGGCATCCTCACTGCCCTCGACACGGTCCGTCCAAAGACGATTGACCCACGTATTGATCTAATCGTCAAACCGGTGAAAAATCCGTTTTTTTCCGAAAAAAAACATACAAACAATTCAGCAGGACTCCACTGTTCAGTTCCCGAACGTAGTGAGATGTCTGCGTGACACTCTCTGACCAGCAGTTCGCCCATCTCAAAATTCAATGCGGCCACGCATACGGCCAGGCAGGTACCTACGTCGTTGTTTATAATATTCTTCAATGATATATAGATATAAATAATGGTTGCCAAACCATATTCTACGATTGTGGAGCTCCCATAATTTTTACGCGTTATTCTCGATAGTAATTTCTCGGTTCACACGCGTTTTACGCAAAGTAAAATGTGAAATATGTCTTCACAAGTGAAACTTCATTATGATTCAATCATTACGATTATAAGTAAACTTAACGTTATGTCGTCATAGTGCAAAATATATATATCTGAATATCAGCATATCTAAGAAATGATAATAGGTAGCATCATTCACCACTGGTGAATCCTGCGGCCATACGGTAATACTAGCCATTACGCCTGGTCCGAAGAAGTGCCGCTCAAGTAGATGGAGTATATCCAAACACTAGTTATTATACTCCTCATATAATCGTATCTTGCACTCGTGAAACGACGAATGACCTCACGGTGCGATCTGTCCGGCCGATTAACGTCTTCTTCCAGCGCCACATCGCCGTGCTTAGATCGTATCTAGTCTATCATCACCAGGAAGTAGAGGGAATAAGCTCGCCTTGTCAATGATAATCTTGGCGTTATCGAACTTTCCTTTTTCTACACACCAATAGAGAGGCGTTCGACCGTCGAAATCTGTTTCCCGCAAGTCCGCGTTGCGTTCTGAAATCATCATCTACTCAACATTCAAGCGCAGTGTTAGAGGAGTCTAATAATAGAAGTTTATATATGAATTGGGGTAGAGGTATTCATAAACCTCCCCGAAATCTCCTCAGAATTTTCATATTGTCACCAACTACATATCTCCCACACTGTTCGAAATTCCACATATTCCTTCAAGTCGCCATATTATGAAGTCACGAACTATATCAGTCCCTTGAAGCTTCAGAGAACCACCAAAATGTATTAAGATTATGATTATCAATTAATATAAAACCTAGGGTATATGCACAATATAGTGCTGCTATTCTTCTTGAGCGGCACCCTTCGGACCAGGCGTAGTTGCCAGTATTAGGGTATAGCTATTATATTAGCTATTGGGTATTAGGGTATTAGGGTATAGCTATTGTATTTCATAATTTCCATATCCCCCATCTCAATATGAAGGGATTATCATCAAATTTATATATATAAATTATATATTATTATTCGTTGTTCATCTATATATTTTCATTTATCATATCAAAAGTGATGTCCGAGAAACTAATGATAATCACCAGTCACGACCAAGACTTCCAGCATCTGCTGAACGATACGACACTTCTGATAAACACTCACCAAAGAGGAACTCCAAAACCGCTTTCGCTTTCCTCGAAATGGCAGCATAGTGCAATGCAGTAGCGCCAGTCTTAGTATTCGCCACATTCACATCACAGTGATAATCGTCAACTAATTTTCTCAACACCAATACTGCTTTTTCATCGTGCCCTTTTTGACAAACCTGATGATAATTCTTCACCAGCAGTTTTCTCTCATTCAACCTTACTTGCTGTAAAATAGTGTCACCAGTTTCCAAATTCGGGCCGTCCGGCACCGCACCATACTTCAAAAGAAGATCCAGTACTTTCTTGTCACAATTTTTTTCCAAAGCCACCCGGAACGGGTTCACTTGCTGATTGGAATAAACGTTCACCTGTATCACGCACAGCGAAGATTTTCAAGATCTTTTTCTGCTCTCTGCGACTTACATTGGCACCAGCTTTCAAGAGGAGCTCAACCATTTCGTCTCGCGCTTTCGTTTTCCTCAACGCGGCAAATAACGGCGTTTCCCCGTTTCCTATTCTCCTGTTCGGGTCTCCATTATATTCCAATAAAATTTTAGATATTCTGGGTACACCCCGGTTCGCTGCTGCATACAGTGGGCTAAAACCTGTACTCGGCGCCGTATTGGGATCTGCTTTACCTAGACATTGAATGGATCTCACCCAGTATTAAATATTAGTAACCAGAATGTTAGTGGCCTTATTTCTTAGCAGTGAGTGGAATCCAATATTAGTTCGAAATTAGACTAATGTCCGTGTCTAGTCTATATATTAGACTAATGTCCGTGTCTATAGTCTATATATTAGACTAATGTCCGTGTCTATAGTCTATATATTAGACTAATGTCCGTGTCTATAGTCTATATATTAGACTAATGTCCGTGTCTATAGTCTATATATTAGACTAATGTTCGTGTCTATAGTCTATATATTAGACTAATGTCCGTGTCTATAGTCTATATATTAGACGAATGTCCGTGTCTATAGTCTATATATTAGACTAATGTCCGTGTCTATAGTCTATATATTAGACTAATGTCCGTGTCTATAGTCTGTATATTAGACTAATGTTCGTGTCTATAGTCTATATATCAGACTAATATAGTGGAGCTCCCTGCGCTAACAGTAGGCACTGCGTTTAACGATAGGAAATTCATTTACTTTCTGGTTCATTTTCATATACTTCATGCTGAACGTACCAAAGGAGCTACTCCGGAGGCACCCAAGCCGGGAGGGGCAGTGTTGGAGGAATATGTGTTCGCCTCCCTCAACTGAGCTCAGCAGTTCCCTCACTAATGTAAGCTTGCATACTAACTCGGGTATAAGTATACAAAACCCCAATAAAAATTCCCCAGGATTTTTATATTGTCACCAACACATGTAGTAAACCATGTGCATATTCTCCTCCCACACTGGAGATGATAAATATCTATATTTCGATTTCATTAGTCGAGCTAGTCTTACCGTCAAGTAAGAGTGTGACCATTTCCTCATGCATCTTATCTACTGCACCGTACAAGGCCGTAGTCCCCGTTTTCGGGTGAACCCAGTTCAGATCGATTCCAGCTTCTATAGCCGCACGACAAGAGATAACATCGTTGTTTCTGACAAAATTCCAAATCATGAATCGCTTCGCTCCGCTAATGACCAGACCTAGTTGCCGTGTGCAAGTCCATGGCCTGTAGTAGCGAAAGCATCTCCTTATCTGTTGTCAGGTCGAACGGCGTCCTCCCCATCGAATCAGCTACACACAGCTGAGCGCCATGAGTTGTCAAACATTTCACCTAAACTCGCTGCAATTTCGTGGCGCGTGACGGAAGATTCCCCACCATTTCTTTGTCGTTATTAATTACGGCAAGCATGAGAGGCGTCAGTCCACCAGCGTGACTGACGTCGTTTGGATTAGCGCTGTTTTCGATCAGCAGTGTGACCATTGCAACACTCGATGCACTCCCCACGGCCTGAATAAGTGTATTTTCTTCGTTACACAAAACTCGAAAAATCAATGTTTTTCGTCAAAAATACGTCAAAAAGTTTCCGAAGCTGCAATAAGATTTTAGCATTGGAGTTTCACCACCCTAGTGATATGAAAAACACTAGTGAAAAACATATTTAACGACTACTGCATATCACCGCGAATATCACGTTTTTCACCGAGTTTTACGCCACCTCCCGTAAAACGGGGCGTGAAACTCCAATACTCACCAGAAGCAACAAGCTCTCCTGCGTTTGTGGATCAACATAAGTTGCCTCAACGCCTCGGTCGCT